TAAACATAGGAATTGGATGAGTTGTCTTTCGCTTGAGGCTTCGTTGGGCATAAGAGTGAGGGGGGGGGGGGATAGCTTAAGCATAGAAATTGGATAAGTTGCCTTCGCTTGAGGCCTCGGGTTGGGCTTAGGAGCACAGGCGCGGATAGCTTAAGCATAGGAATTGCCTTGGCCTGAGCCTTCGGGTTGGGTTTAAGGATAAAAGGGGTTAGCTTAGGGGGGTAGGGTTTGGATGGGTTGCCTTTGCTTGAGACCTCGGGTTGCATTTAGGAATAAAAGGAGGTTAACTTACTTGCTGTTTTTTTTATATAAACCGTCCGAAAGCGCTCCTCTACTTTCATATTTCGCAATGTGTCTTTACGCAGCGCCTAAAATTATGTATGCAAAGCGCGCCGCTTCTTTATTGTCCTTCTAAAACGTATCAAAATAGTTTCGACTGTACTGGAAAAATGAGTCAATCTCTTTAGAACTGAGGCGGAGTAAGCAGGCTATTCTCGATCGGCGAACATAACGGGAGCACCATTGGAAGGGTCGATAACTTTGCGTGCAGTCGATGGCTTCAAGGTCACTTACCGATGATATTGCATAAACGTGCATACGGATTTGCATCGCAGTAAAAAGCAATGCAAGCCGAGCCATTTCTCAAATAAAATTTCGGTCGCTAGCGTTTTGCATGTCTGCCCACTGAAAGCCAGCTGAGTAGGTCGAAAACAGGAGTTTTCTGAAAGCAACCTGAATTATCTTCTCTCTCATTCTACAAGGTCAACCAAATCCGATCCTGAACAACCTCACCATCGATAGTGCAATCGTTTTAAGGCCGTTTGTTGTCGGAGCCTAGTGATGCGAGGAACATGGTGGAAATTGTCTGTTCTATAAAAGCATACACAGGTAAACTGCATAATATAGATTATGAATTTAGAATACATAATATAGGTTATGTGTAATTTACATGTCTATAACAGAGGTGTGCAGATCTAGTCAACTTGGAAAGCAATCCACTGTAGATGTCGAAGTTAAGTTGGAAAAATGTAACGCAAAGCACATGAAATGCACAGATAATTTCGGCCTTTTCTTGAACGTAGTTGACTATGATGCAACAAACACGAACGAAAGAGTTTATGTGAACTACATACAGTTATTGCTTTATCTGCAATGAGCACCCTTCAATATAGTTATACTAGGTAGCATTCGGCACCTGGTTGCTTTATCATGAATATATTTAATACATTGTAGCAAAATATACAAGCACGTTCATTCAAAGGACTACGATTATACCGGTATTATAATTAGACGGATCTGAGTTAGATAAACTAACGGCGTATTATGAAGGTTGTATAGTACAGTTGAGCTGGTGAAATGGTTCCTCATCATCTTAGCCTGGTAAAAATTTCAGCACGTTCATTTTTCACCTACGCAGCAGAATAAATACAACTAACAGAGGTAAGTATGAATAGGTACTCGAAGCAATCCGATGTGGTACGTACTGATCATTCGCTCGTGTAGCCACGCATGGCCAACGACATCAAAGGCAATCTGGCCCTTAGCGCCGTCACTGCTACCTCCAGCAAAAATAACAACCATGGCATCAGTCTGAATCCCATACCTACACTAACTCGTTCTCATTGTCGTTTTCTAAATCATCTCTAATTTCGTACGGTAGCGATTATCTCCTATTTTACTATGGGCTGACTGCCATTACCTCTACTCTACCGAAAAGATGTTTGTAATTCTGTCGCCGAATTTCGCTTTTTCAGTGTTAGCTTTTGACTTTGCTGACTCGAGTTGTGCCAGCTAGCCAGCTTGGCCATTGTCTATGGCGCTAAACCCAGCAGCCGCTGCTGTTATCTATCTCGATTACTTTACATTGGAGAGCACGACACCGTAGCAGCGGCAGGCGGGACGGAAGCAGCCGACTTGTGTTAGAAACGGCGGAACGTTACTCTTGCTACAAGTGCGATCGCCATCGCCGCGTCCTTTGTCTCAAATGCTACTGAGGCGTGCGTCCGCGTTACCCGCATACCTCAGAGCATGCCCCCGCTGCTATTGCTGTTGCCCCTTCCTCCTTTCTTTTCGTCGTGAGTTGGAAACTAAGCGACCGTCTCTATTTTGGCCCATTTTACTATTATCAAGGTCCCTCGGGTAATCTTCTGCCTCTACTGGCTCCAAGTCAACTTCCCCAATTTGCTGGTTCTCGACAGATTGGCAGGAGAGAAACCTGTTACACCCACACAAACACCACACGCATGCTCTTACTGTTGCTGCTAGTAGACGCTGCTGTGGGCCGACGCGCTCACTGAATTACTGAACGTATTAGGAAATAGCCGGACTGAATGCACGAACAAAACGACATCAAGTCAGTCAAGCTTAAAAGGCTAATAGGTGCGGTGGCCCTGCAAGCATATAAGCCAGAGTTTATATTTATGCGTGTTCCTTGTGAGTTTCCCTGTCGTTGGACTGTGTGCTAATATAGGCGGGTAAGTGCCCAAACCACACTGAACAGGTTGCAGAATCCAACGGCAGCCCTTCTCAGCTGCCCTCAATGCCAGCCCAGTTGCGAGTTTCGTAACCCTCTGCTGCGGGTGTTTACCGCGAAGTGCTTCAACAAAAGTACGATGATCGGCTCACGCCGTGTTTTCGTGGTACAGCACATTCAACGGTACAACGTCGGCTTGAAGTCCTCGTTTCTGCTATACAACAAGTGAAACGTACTGCAAAGCTTTTTTAAGGTGAACGTCCCACGTATAATAGGGCCTACTGGTTAAGTCGGTGTTACAAAATTTAGACTTATCATATTTCTAAAATGGCCACTCTTGGTTCGGCTGTTTACTTGAAGACTAGCAATTTACTAGGATACTCTTGGTTTTTGTATAGAAAAGGAAACGTTCGATAGGTTCGAGGCCATAACTCGAATAGGTCAGGTTTTAGCATCTGTGTCAGGTGTTTTGGTACAATAAATCTAGTATAATTAAGGTTATAGATTAAAACCGAATTACCTCAGTCTTTATGGCACTCGCCTCCAAGCCACGGTACCGGCTCGCACTATGTAAACGCTACATGGCTTGGATACAGTGTAGCTGATTTACTGAGCAAACTGAATTTTGTTCTGAGGAATTTGCCCGCCCTCAACTTCATTCTCTTTCGAGTTCGTTTCGCGAAGCTGATTACCGCCTTAAATAACCCTGGGAAAATTTTATTCTTCCTCCTTGTCATATTTCGTATAACTTCAACACGCGACAAATCATTGCATGTGCAAAAAAAGCTTGTTGCGAATGCAGTGGATTTACAGAGTCCAGCAGCGAGCTTGGTTACTAGAATCGACTCCCGGACAAATGGTAGGCCTCACTTTATTTAGGTGTTAGGCTAGCTTACCGCTAATCAGTGTCGCTTATCAGTTTTATGTGGCAAGTCCTTACTATGGTTTTTCAATGAGGTTGTACCAGCGGTGATTTTGGCCAGAAGGGTAATAATGCTTTTTCGTCCCTTGACGTTCGACTACGGACTTATCTGGGCCAAATGAATTTATAGAACATTTACAACTGGTTGAACAGCATCTTATTTATCTTTAATTGTTCGGTAACTTGATTTCCATAATTATAGGTTAGCGAATAAAGAAGAAAATCTTGAGACGCACTTGAGGGAAGTGAGGACAAAGTCAATGTAATTAATTTTCTACCTTCACATTCTAAGCGATAAATCATTTTAGCGAGAGGGGCTGGTGACTAGGGATGAATGTAAACGAGAATCAGCTCTAAATTGACCGAGTTACGGAAAGAGCATTTCTCATGATGCTCACGTTGAAATGGCTGGGCTCGAACTTGGTCTACCTGACTTGAGTTCTTGAAAATTGACAGCTCTGTCCTGGTTCCGGACTCAACTGGCGCCATCTGCGTAAATCTTCATTTGCGTCTTTCGTCTTCCCGAGGCTCCACTTGCAAAGCACGCCACTGGGACAGACTTTTGAGAGCGATGATAGCTTCGGCTATCAATATAGAGTGTGGTGTCATTATAGACCGTACAATAATAACGCTTGGTGTCGATGCGATGAGCTATTTGAAACTAGAGTCTATTAATGATGGAACATTTTTCTCGAAGGGAGGAAGGAAGGAAAATTGACGAGCGAGGACCTGCTGCAGGGGGTGGCGTGACGTTCACTGCAATGTTAGCCCATGCGGTGGTTATCATAAACAAGCTTTGCACGTGTAAGTACTAAGTAGTGCTAAGGGGCCCGTGCATAAAGGCAGCGGATAGTTTATCGAATTGGACTTGACTGTGGATATATAAGTAAGCATATTTTAAAGAATATATATATACATGTGTATATAATTGTGCATTTGATGCATGGAATCTCTTGGTGAGCGGACAGATCAATAAACGTCTATGTAATTGCCACATGGAAGAGCAAGTATTCACGTAATGCCATAATAAGTTTTGTCCAACCTTAATGCAGCTTATGAAAATTTTTCATATTTTACCCGGTATTGTATATAAGATGTTGACTGTGTATGTTCATTTTTGTAATTGTGGCTGGCTAGTAAAGAGATAAACGCAGTTCCTTAATAATAATAACAAATTCCAACGAATCATTGATAAAATAGTTGATGTCACTCGGACATGCTAATTACTAAAAACAAGGCCTACGGTAGAAAAGACTTAAGTGCGCAATTAAAAAAAAAGCTCTCGGTTTCAAGTAATGCTTAGCTTTTGATAGGAAACCTACCACTTTTCAAAGGCTTATTTTTCTTTATTTATAGACGTAAACCCAATTCTGCGCCACCCCTTATATTATGTAACAATAGAACTTTTTCTGACCGTCGGGTAAAGTATAACATTAAAATCATATAGATCTCAACTTCCTCTATGCTTTGACGTACTCACATTTCCTTATATCTAATTTTTTTCTGTTTGATCTAAATACCCGTTGGAAGGATACCAGACTAAGCAGATGGTCGTAGGGCCTTGTCTGTCACTCTAAAGAACGAAGGGAAGGCTAAAGCTTGGTAGTTACTGAGACTAAATGGGAAAATCACCAGTGTCCTAAGCTTCCTTGATGTTATTAAGCGTCTGGGTCACGCGTCAGAGTGTTTACCTTACCAACAGAGCTTAGTACGTGGCAATACGATGTGCGATTTTGCAAGACAAGCAAATGGCTCATGTGCCGGGTTCTTTGAGCGTCTTAGCTTAGCGCGTGCAGGAAGAGACGCTTTCCCTGTGAGGATAATGTTGTCGTCTTTCTAACGCTTACTGCTAATCCCTTACGATTGCAAAGCGATCACGGATTGCCTATTACTGGATGTGGTAAAGGTTCCTATATGGTCAAACCCAAAAGGATAGCAGAGTTCAGTTGAAGAGATGACAATGTGATAACTTCAAAATTCAGTAGCTGTTTTTAGTTCTTACATAGATGTAGTATTAGCACAGTCCTTAGTGCTGTATTCACACAAATCTTGGGGAAGAAAAAAAAAGTAAACGCCTTTCGTTTCAACCCAAAGCGATTGAGCTTTGTTTAGCTCATCTTACTCCTGAATCTACTAAGAGGTTATGGCCTTCTATAGGCATAGACGCGGCCCGTTTCGTGCTGGGAGTTGGCTATGTGATGGAAGGCCTAAGGGCAATAACAGGTGTAAAATATAAGCTTCAAGCAGAAGCCTGTAGCGTTCGGAGACTATATATAAAACATGTATCATGTAAATGACCAGTTTCATATGATTTGGAGAAAATGCCATAGTTGTTTAAGCAAAGAATGACGATGTCTCTGGTATGCACTTCCTTTCTATGAAATGCGATGTTATCTACAGGCTTGTACACCAAGCTTCGATGACCCGAGTAACGCCGAATGTTTAGATTTTCAACGATGTTCTACCCTAGTTAATGCAGGATGGATTAGATTACCATTTGTATAGTCACTTTCGGTTTACAAAAAATTGTTGATATGTAGCCGCAAGCCAAATTTTTCGTCTAGTCGGCGGCTTAGGTCGCAAGAACTGGGCGGCCACGGGCTCTACCTAGAAGCAATCGTTTAACGAGCTGCAGCTTCTACGGATAATGGCTCATGTACTGCTATAAAATTTGTGGCACACTTCATTTTGCAAATACAAATTCTTGTAGATAGTATCAAATCAACGTGGTAAAGTTTGTCTTAAACGGCTTTGATACTTCCCTATGTTGGAGCAGCTTGAAGCGTTGCTGGAGGTGACCTGTCACAAACTACTTCAGGCCAGCCCCGAAGGCTGCGTCCAAATTAGGTTATAAATTTTCGTAATGCTTCATCATATGATTAGCAGCTATCGTAGAATGGACCATTCGCTACGCCACCGCCAACCACTCTACTATATAAAAAAAACTACAGCAACGAAGATATTGTATGGGACCCTGCATATATACTCTTCGATTGCGATGGTAACTGCAATATTAGACATTTCTTCTGCACCTACGTTTTTAGGTCTAATTTTCTACTAAATTTCTATTAAAAATATCGGTTTTGTCAAAATACAGAATTTAACAATTCATTCATTTATTGACCCTAGCCTTATATCTTACATCGTCTTGATGAGACTAACAAATCCTGAACAATTATGTGATCTAAATCAAATCATACAAGTGATCATGCCATACTGTAAGCATTTCTATGCAATCTAAAAATCTCTATGAATCGTATAGTATCTTTATCTGGCAGTCTCGTACTAGCTTTAATGTTTTTTAACAATAATTAAAAAAAAAAAGGATTATCACATCATATTTGTATATAAAACCAGACCAATAATTACACTTGATAAGGCCATTATTTTTCATATATTGGTAGCAAAAATTATTACCTAATTTTTGCGACTTGCTTAGTTAAGGCTCATTCTTGTATATGAAGGCAGAACAGGGTCGCTAGTAAAACACGAGGGTCGATCAAGACAGTAAGCATTCAAAACACTCGTCCTCTATTGTTATCCGCCTGTTTCAGTGCATTTAGTCACCCCATGAGAGAGCACAGAGGGTCATGTATCAAATATACACCCAATCTAAATAATAACAACATGAAGCTGCTATGTCGTTTTGCTTGCTGCTCTGAAGCCTTCTTCAGTCGATTCGTTTTGCAATTGAAAACTATTCTAAATGCCAAAAAACGTTGTTCTAAGCGCTGATATTCTTTATTTTGGGAGGTGTAAGGGAAACGGTACCAGGGCTTGGGAAGTTTGCAATAGTGGACATCAAACAAACATCGATGCGTGACGTTGCGTGACCCGAAAGTTAGCCAAGAGCTGAATTCGCGTAGCATCATCGTCCGAGTGGCGCCTGCTGCGTACACCTAGTCTCGGGGTAACGTCAGAACTTCCGTCTCTCATTCTTTCGTTCCCACGCGATATACTCTACACTCGGCATCGGCACCTGAGACCCAGACTAACGGCAGAAAAGCGGTACAGCTGACGATCGATTGCCAGGCGGCCCACACATTGATAGTTTCCGTTTTGTCGATATATTACTCACATGGGCTTAGCGAGCTTTCAACTGGGTGTCTGTATGAAAGGAATTTTGAATGAAGAACTTTTTCTACACTACCTATTTCCACCTAAAAAAGGGCCGTCGCTATGGTATAAAGGAGAGGGAGCCATTCTTCTGTACCCTGAAACACACATATCCGCGCACATAGGCGCATTGCCACACAAGTACATATACCGTATATACTAGGGGTACGCTGACGCAAACACAGGCCATCGGAAGGTGCGGACTAGAGTGCTTATACAAGAGGCATAGCAACGTGGTTCTTGGCGCTGGCGACGGAATATATCGAAACGCGGAGACGTACGTGACGAAGATCTGTGAGGACCACTCATAATGGTCAGGAAAGTGGAGACGGCAGGACTGAAAGGCACGTGTGATACGAACGCCGACAAAAAATCCGTCACACATGCACTCTAGGTCAAGCGGCGTACACTTTTACCGGATCTGTACCTCTGAGTGTCACAGCAGGCGTGCCGCTTGCTGTAAATATTGCCATTGATATATTAGATGTGCTAATGGTTGAACATACACCAGTGACAGTAGAATAACCATGACAGAGTTCACAGCAGTAAAAAAGAAGTTTGTGGTACTATATGGATTTGTTTTAAGAGTGCAGAAAAAAAGCAAGGTGCAGAAAAATATAAGAACACATATGAAACAGAGTATTCTAAGACGGATATAATATCCTCGAATGTCGCGTATGAGAAGAGACTAAAAGGGCCAACTAATGACATATTGGTGATGATGAACGCTATACTAATTTTGACACTCTCTTTATTTCCTATGCGCGCACAATCGTTCTGTTTTTATTTAATTCGGATTTATATGGTCTGAGCGGCTAAACATTTAGCTTCGAAGATATTTAGGCTGCAGCTTGCTATTATCTTCAAATCGTCTGTCCTCTTCCTTGATTCTTTTAGCTCATCTTAAACGCCATCCGATGTTTTGCCTACTTAGATAACCTTAGCCAGCAGTTCATTAGCTCAGTCAGCCCAACATCAGATTCGCAATAATCCTCTCGAATGACTTGACCTTCTACGGGAAGGGCAACATCTCTTTTTCATCAAGCTTCAACGCCTTTATAATGGCGAGGCTGTACAAATGTCTGTACTGCAGCAAAGGGGTGCTGGGTAACGGTTGAGGCTGTTCGTCCAACGAATGCAAGAGGTAATAGCTCCAGGGTGTACTTTGCCGCAGGTCCCAGCATAGTCATTTCCGTACTATATGCCACCGAGTAAGCGCGAAGTCTCATTGCCTGTGTACTAGATGAGCGGTTTCTCCACGCAGTAGAAAAGTATGCGAACATTTGTTTTAATTTACAACGTACAACATTCCCCCCTGTGGTTGCATGTAAGTTTTGTAGCTGTTGAATGAAGCTTACGAAAGAAGATGCTGCAGACGAGCAAAGGCATTCTACAACACAGCACAATTACAGTATTTAGGGCTAGTTCTGACTCTGTCTAGGGAGACAACAACGGCTTTTGTCGTTGTTACTCTTGAACTGAAGGCGGACGCAAAAGAGTTTGAAATCCCTTAATCGTGAATTTGTTGCTTCTTAGCAAGTTTTCGTGTCGGCAAACGGGGTTCGTTGGCCGTGCATAAACACAGTCAGGCTGCACCAGAGAGCAGTTGCCTCTGTACAAAGAGGGGTAGCGGGGGGGAGAGTCTACGAACGGCAATTCTACTTGGCGTTTCTTGTGCAGTGAATAAATGTTCCGGTGTGTATTACCAATGAGGTAAACGAGACCAGCCAATTCAAGCTCTTCAACAGAACCATTTCCCACGTTTGCGTACTGCGAAAGAGGCGATCATTTTGCATACGTATAAACAGCCGATTATTATTCATTTGTTGTTGGTCAATCTCCTTAGAAAGCGGTTAGGTTTAAGGACAACTCGGAAGAATATCATTTGTTAGAAAGTTTATCGTCGAAATGCTTGCAGGTTCAGATATAACAGAGGCAATATCGTTGTAGATAACTCAGCTCATACTCATTGCTAAATATTTGGGTTTTTTACTTTAAACATTGTAGGGATTTTATAAATTATGTTGTTCGTTGGTCGTCACAGTATGAAATACCTATGGAAAACGAGTATGCACTACGATATATTAGTACTCACTCGTAAGCAGCTCAGGACGTAGCTCATCTAATTATTATGCAATTACGAAGTCTGAAATCTACTAAAAGCATCTCTATAATCATTAGTGCAAGGAATTTGTTCTGATAATTAGGTTACTTGCTATTATACACTGCCTATGCTGGTTAAGTCAGCGATGTCCTACTATCTTGCATCCAAATTATTTACTGGGCAATCCAACAGGCAAAACGAGCACAACTCCATCGGCCTCTACCCAGATCGGTAGCTCATCGATGTCATCTCACCAATAGCACTAGCCGGCTGTGAGCATGACCAAAAAATTTCCCCAGGGCCTCACAACAGCAAGTTCAGAACTTCTTCGCATTCAGTGTCCTTCACTAGTTGTTTGCCAGTGTGTACGATGGTTCCCAGGCATTCAGGACTTTTCCTGCACTTCGAGGATACAGTAATACGATACCTCTTATGCTGGAATCTGCATGATCGTGTCATACTGAAACCGGAAATACCTTGTGCCTGTTGTGAAACGTATGTTATTTGGATATACCACCATTATAAACCATGTTTATAATTAACGACGTAATTCTCAGCTTTATAATGAGTATGTCTTATTGCTTTCTAGTCAAAGATTAGGCGTAAGTTTAAGATACGCTTTTACTAGAGGAATACGCTGCACATGGCGCCAAATTATATACAAATCAGTATTATTCTGTTAACAATTATGATATGGCCAACATTTGAAACCATGCATGGGCGGGCTCATTCGAGCTAGGCTTCTATGGAATACATCCATTTTACCCCCATGGCATAGCTGCTAAGTCAGATAGGTTAAGATATCCCTTTCGAAAAATAGGACCATATTCATCTGTGTAGGTTCTAGTAGGCCGACGGAAGCTTCTTCGTCCCCAATTCGTCTTGCATAAACATAAAAGATTGTTTCGACCTAGTTCAATGACGAATCCCTGCGCAGGCATCTTTGTACGGAGCAGTAGTATGCCTAGCTCAACAACTATCCGGTATTACATATCAATTGTGTTTTTAGACTAATGATGAAAAGATACGTCATTTACACTTCAACTAGATTACCTGACGTTTACGTTACAAACCTCAGATCTTACTTACTAATGGAAGACTATCATTTTGTATCCGTACCTAAATATATCATATACGCTTGGGGTAACAAAAGCTAGTTATGTTACAGCGTGATAGCTCATTATCTTGATCGTTTGCTACTTTTTGAAACAATTAAAAGTCAGTGGCGTAGGTTAAGTTTAGGAACGTACGAAGCAGATCGACCTACTACAGCTCGAGCCCTGAGACAAAGTAGTATTCCGATGAAGTAATAGGTAAGTTATAGATTGTGTATTGGCAGGGGGTGCTGTCAAGAGATCACATCGATGTAGTTCGAGGAAGCCTTACATAAAAGTTGTTCATCAACTGCGACATATATCTTCCGTATTACCATCAACTGAAAAAAAGAACGTGTGGGGATAAAATCACAGAATTAAGAGAAGAAAGTAAAATAGAAGAAAAAAAGACTTTACTTGTGAGAAGCACATTTGAAAATAAGTTAATCGATACGAGACTATAGAAGAGAAGCTGCAATATAAATGGGAATGGCGCAGTAAAGAAGCTGAATCATTGAATTGTAGGAAGCGCTAGGCATACAATGCATCTGAGACGCATTATCGCGTCAACGAAGATAATCAATAGTATACAAATTTGCTATTTATAACTGTAGACTCGTGCTACATGTATAGAATATACGCTGTTAAATCGAGTGCTTCACATGCAGACAATAGACCACATCAATAGCTGCACAGTTCGGGTAACCGCTGAAGAGTGAATCGTATGTTGAGTTGGTGCACCTAATCCCTAACACCACAGTGGATCAAGGGCAAATACGCCGATGCATTGAACTCCCCTAATCAGTTGCTCGAATTAATTTTATTTTTTAATCCAGCGAGGGTTTCAGTCAGATGAGAGCACACTAGTACATAACAGCTGACGCTCTTTGTTACGAAGACAGATTATAATGAGTCCCGTTCGGCTACCCGATATTCATATGCTTGTATATTCAAACATGTACAATGGAACTTTAAACTAGACTAGCTGGGACTAGGGTCATCAAGCGTCTTACCCGTTATCTGAGGCGATATATAGAAAAAGGTTTCGGATGATTATATCGTTTGTCGGCTGTTTTCGATATCCTAATGGTCTGAGTGAGCCGTGTGGCCGCTATCAACATCGATGGAAAGAGTAGCGGAGGCAGGCGGGCGGGCGGGCGGGCGGGCGGGCGGGCAGGCAGCTACCCCGTGCATATGGCCATCGCGGTCCTCGTCAAACCCGTTTCGACTTAATACTTATAGATGGCTAGCGGGAACCATTAATCCGTAGTGTCCTCCGAGGAGCCGCCCGACGTTGTGCGTTTCCCAAGCCGTCCTCTTCCAAGATACCGTCCCGTAGTGGCTGTGTTTCTCTTGCACTTTTGTCAGCGTCAGCTCGAGCTGAGACGTGAAATCTTTCGGAGGTGCAGAGGCTCAGCTAGGAGTGCTGAGCGCGTCAAGCTCCATGACGCAGCAGCGATGTCTGGATAAGTAAGCAAACGTTGCAGTGAAAGTTCTATCTGTGTATGGCATACGAACAAATATTGTTGAGGTATTATGATTGTTACATGTTTAGATTCTGTCACACGAGCATTATACATTCTTACTACTTACGATTGCGCCTATTCTTCCAAAGCGTCTGTAGGGCACATAGCTCTATATATATATATATATATATATATGCAAAAAAGACATTGTAAAATGAGATCATGATCAAAAAGATTTGGCTGAAATACTATTGTAAAATCAACTGTATGGACCGGAATGAATCTGTGTTTCATATAGTGGCAATTATGGTTGAGGTTCAAAATCGAGTGAATTAAAAGATAGGTTAGCAGGCAATTCAACCCACATAGTTATCGAAGATCTTCAGATAAGCCTATCCATTTTTCGATTAAAAGCATTATCAGCTTTACTCTGTGGGACCTTTTCGGCGAAGCGCGGTCTATCTTATTTACGCTCTGTCATAGATCGAGTGAGTCGCATCGATGAATCTACTATTCTAGACGGATCTACAGTAAAGCGTAAACATTAGCCACGTACGACCATATTCGATGGTGGTGCCTTTTTTCCTTCGTACGCCAATCGAGATAATAAATTGCGTAGAGTAAACGATATGTGTTGTGTATGCTATGGAAAAAGACGTCTACGTTTGCTAAACATTGGCCCTTACCGATTGGTGGGCTAGTAGCGACAGCAATCGTGCAATCCGTATTTGCTCGGCGTACGAACCGCACCGGCTGTTCTCGAAACGAGCGCCCTTTGAAGACAATGCGATAGTAGATGCTGATACGGGTCGTGCTTTGTTAGTCGTTCCTACTCGTACCGATGCGGCAGTCCGTTAGTCCTAATTCTGTTACCCACGTACACTTGTTTCACTATCCGAATGACAGGGGAAATCTCAGATCGGTTGAGCCATATCGCCCATTGCGATGATTGCGGTTAAGTGAGAAGGAAAAGAGGGAAAAACATATGTAGGCACACACGTGCGATTAAAAAAGCTGTGGAATAATGCTGGACGACCAAGTACGTCTCGTGCAAATATCAGATGGCGTACCGATGTTGTTAAGAAGTGAAGGTAATGAAAATTTCAAATGGTAGAAAAAAATGCAACCACAACGTACTACTGAAGCAAGTCATTCTGAGAGAACTTTTCGCCTTTCTTAAGCCGTTTCGTTGTTTTTTTAGAAGTGCGAAATTGCGTATTTTGCAAAAATAACGGAAAATATAGGGAAGTAGGAAAGATAGTTTAGTCAATGTAAAGCTAGTCAGGGTTCGGTTTATGACGCAGACTCCGCTATAGGGTGCTTACCACATGAACGTCATAATGACACACATAGTGACATGTAAGTTCATCAGTCGGTTGCCTTCCTGCGTAATCGATATTACGAATTTTTTGGGGGAAGTAAACCTGCAATTTTTGCTACGATATAACGATTTTGGGGACGAGATCGTTGGCAGCGACCAGATATAATACACAACAACAGCTCTAAAGTCAGATGTGTCTGTATCGTTTCTAATGAGGAACAATCTTTTTATTAATCCAACACTTACATGCTCATTAAAAATTGTCTTTACCTTCATTCCCCATGACGAAGATATAGAGCTTGGACTAGTGACTCCTGAGTCGAGAGGGAAAACACCCCCTGTGTACTTTACCTAAAGCATCCCAATAACATACTTCTGTAATGAAAGAAACGATCTACCTAAATCTTGAATACAATGTGCTCACTTTATTTCGTTCCTCGATTAGGGTATATATATATATTGGTTACGCGAGTATTTGTCTTTTTTGAGTTTCTTAGGTCGTCAGCAGATCTATAAGCTTTACCATCTCTTGAACAAAGTACAGATAATATTGAAAAGGTGTGTATGTGTGGTTAAAATAAAATAATATTTTTTCTCTATGCGCAGAACTTGACGCTTCTGGTTGAACTCGCATTGCTCGCATACAATAATCAGAGACGTCAAAGAACGAAACGGTCACGAACAACTCCGCGCAGTCTGTGTGTAAATTATCGCTGTTCAATAAATAACTACAATTAAAAAATCTTACAATCAGAGTAGAGAATCCGTTTTTTTTCTATGTTCAAAACGAATGCCATCTATTTAGTACCATGAATGTTACCATAGACCGAGACTGACTAACGGCTAGTGCGGTCTGTAAACGGCGTTTGTATTATTAGTAATATAGCAACGAACTGAGAGTATCGTTCAACCATAGCTATTCGCCACTGATTCATTAGTGAGGCGAAGACGTTTCGATTTTAGTTTGTTTCTTTGAAGGCCAGATCTTTTGAAGCCTTTACTCCTAGAATGCGCTTCTACTGGCTCAAAAGTCAAAGGAATAGAGGACGCTGCTATAACCATTTGCGAAATGCATACGTCAACCTCATCTATAGGCACCAAATTCAATTTTTCCTCGTTGGCTAATGACAGCAGCGCAACAAAAGCCAGCTGGGGGTTGATAGCCCTGCGATTATCTGGTGATAACGTGGGCTGTATGGCGATGTATAAGTGAGAAAGCAGATGCTTGCTGCCCTTATCTCCCACTGGCACATCGTTTTTACTGTTCGAAATTAAGAAAATATCCCACATTGCTTGGCACATCTGCTTAAGGTTGAATTTCTTTTGCGCAGTACGGTGACCTAGGTAAATAGCGGTAGTCATTAGGTCTGGGGCTATCGTTTGGGACCATTCGGGTTCCTGCGTACTTTTTGTGTCCAGGGGCCACTGAAATTAAATTATTTCGCTTGAGGTGAGATTCAAGCTAAACAGAATAAGGAATTTAGATATGATAGCGACTACGTTTCGCAGGCTGTGCAGGCACCGTATACGCAGAGAGAGGGAAGAACGTGCACACTAGCCAAAGAACGGCTGCCTTGAGGATGCTGAGAGGATGACAAATATATAGGTTTATGTTGTTTGCTATTAATTCAATCCACCATTCATTTTTAGGCGTAGCATTACTGTCGCAGCCGAGAACAACCCGACATAGAATTTTTTTATGTTGTAAGTTTATGCTAACTCCAGATGTTTTTGCACTTCTAGGATATCCTTGATTTCTTTGTTTCTCGTTCAAAAATACGGACCATTGTAATTAACATGCCTTTCTATAAAAAGTATGCATAGCAAGTTAAAATTATAATACATTATGAACACTACTAACTAAAGTCATTTCGTAATGCAAAGACAAACAGCCTCGTAAACTTACACTAGAAGATGCTACTTGGGACTCAGACTTGATTTCAGCGGTAAATTTAGACTCCTCTGGTTCACTACACTTTCTTTTAACTAGACGAATATCAGGAGCGTCCACCTTTGCGGCAGAACCGTCGGGAAATTCTTGTATCGAAACCTTATAAGACTCGAGGAAAAACAGAGACGAGAAACGTTCGACGACGCTATCAAACGTGAGGTCACGGATTTCGACGGGATCTGGGTGTCGAAGCTTTTTGCAATTGCTTGTCCACTTGGTCAACGTGGCATTCGACAGCCGAATGCTGCTTGGGGCAAGCGAAAGCACGGCCGCATTAAAGAGATTGTAATCTGGGGCCTGTTTACATTCAGGTTCATCTCCTGGCTGCGTCATCCTCTCCAGTAACGGAAGAAACGGCAGGTCGATGAACTTACGCGGTCGACCTCTTGCCTCTATTGCTCTAATGGGGGTCCCATCTAAAAATGAAAGGACGTGAATAAAGACGCCGTTGTAATCAGTCAGTGGTATCGGCCAGCTGGACCAAATAATTTTTAGTCTCTAGTGCCCATAAGAACCACAGCGTCTTGAGACGCCAATTCCGATTTGCAACGACGTTAGTCAGTACATAGTTGCCTATATACACTGCGCTATAACTGTAGGGATGTGTGACAGTATGCGGTATTTTTGTTAATATTTGGGGCAAGATTACTAAATTACTTCAAGATAGGCCATTCACAGTATACGTGGTCAAGTTCCTATGTTGATTATAAGATACCAAAGGAAATGCTCTCACGCTACCATAATATAGGACGCAGGTTTGGATAGCGTTTCCGCTATTTCGTGATATTTATCTAACGTGACTGTAGGCAGCATAAATGCTTAATACTCACCGATCGTAAAACGTTCACCAGGCACACTGATCTCGGAATTCTCCTTTTTTATAACCTTCAGAACTGCCAGATTGGATGCCTGGGTTTCTTGAATGGTATCGCCGTAAAGTACTGTTCTTTTCGTAGAGAGACTATCGGCATCTGGGTCGAACTTCTATGTAGTTTAAAACATCAGATAGTTAAAATGTTACGATTATAAAGGTTCTAATGTATGTTCCAATGTTTACTTAGCATACGGATCTGTACGCCTAGCAGTTATTTAGTTGTTTTTTTTAATGATAGAGTAGGAACATTCAGCCCAGCTCATTCCTATGCTTTGACTTTTAAATAAAATTTTCCGGCGTATTAAAAAATTATCATATACTGAGAAGGCTGACATATGCTCCACATCAGTTGTTCTGCTTGTTCCCATTACCTTAGCGATAAGCTTGATTTGAGTTGAACGATTTTTTCCAAGTAATAAGTAATGTTTTTAGTATCACTGTCGAGCCTATTGATCCTACTTGGCATTGACTGTCATAAAAAAAGGTTTGTTTCGTATACCTACGTATTTACGAATATCGCTGTCCTGTTCCAAGGACGTATGGAGACTTTCCTGAGAAAAATGTTTGCCTGATTGAAGATCCATGCTAAACGTCTCAAGCAACCGCGAAATAGGCAGACCTATTGGTATATCAGGTAAAGGTCGGAGCGTACGCATGTCCTCCATGACACCCGCCTCGAACCTAAACGAAATGAGAAGTGACTAACATCGCATTCATAATAAAATAAAAAGTATAATCATTTTTATATTTGATTGTATACGTCTAAGGGTGCAGGTGCGTGTCAAGATTTCCGTTTAAGGTATACATAGTACTATATTCTGCATATTGACGTTCAAACAAAGGGAACCAATGGTCGACTTTATGACTCTAATGAACAAACGTTTGGCTACGAACCAAAAAGATGCGAAACTCTGCTTTACCTTAAAAAAAATGCGAGCTACTAATTGATCAATCAAAATAACTGCACTAACAAATCTAGACTTTTTAAGGTAAAGAAATATTAGCGCCAGATGAAGCTCTAAGGATACGTGTAGTAAATTTTTTTACCAATGATCTTGCTGCGTGATATCGATTGGATGCATATCTGCTGGCGGGAGGAAGCTCATTATTCGACCCATGCTGCCCTCTTGTCCGCTGACCTCAAGCAAGATTTTCCCGCAAAAATCGTTCATGTCTAAGTTGACATCAATCGCACCTGTCGTCTTCAACAAATCTGGCTCAACATAGTTACCTGTAGTTTCCAAAGAACACGAAAAATTACGAGACGAATGTTATGTTACCACAAGATTAGTATTATCATAGCGCTCGTTGGTAGTGGCTGAGGGTGGGAGCAGTGATTTAATTAACTGAAGTGCTTTTCCCTTTCTAGCCACTTGTTTTCAAGATTCGTATAGATCTACACACGCTTTTCTTTGCTACTGTTTCTTTCATATCAGCGACGACCTAAGAAGTGGCCGCTAGGGTTCGTCTTTAACCTTATGTAATGAGAAATTGTTCGTGTAGGACTTCGATTACATCGGATTTATTGAAGTCAGTGCTTATAGTCATGTCTCAACAAGCTTTTTTGTACATTTTCCGACTTTTTTTTCCTTTGAAAATCCGCACTGATATCCCTCATGATTTCTGGGAAAATAAAACGTTCCTGACATTGACAAACAATCGAGAGCCCGGCAAAGTGGACAAGGCAGATATGAGGTTATTTTCCCTAGCCCCTTTTTATACTAATATAGGCACCTTCTTGCATACGCGCCTCCTTTTAGATAATCCGCTAGTGATTATAACGTTTACTCATCGGTGAACGAATTTTCTTAGTCAGCGCCGCAAATATCGATTTCAAAAGTATATTTGTGATTCGACTGGTCTGGTTGCCCTTCCCATGCAGTGTGCTGGAATCCCCATGATGACATGGTGGCGACCACCTTTACTATTTTTTTATCTATCATTTACGAAATTTGCCACTAATTATCTTCTATTCTGACACCTGTTTTCGTAACGCTAAAATTATTTGTGTTCGACACCCAATTTTGACAACAGTCATGAGTTTTCTGGAAGACCATTGCCTGAATCGCATTTTACAAAGTTCTGCTTTCGTAAACGTATTTGACAGTGCTGTGTTTTTGCACGCAATCTCTTTTGATTCTAGGAGACCAAACGAACTTAACAGCCTGGCTTCAAGTCATGATTTCGCCATTTACTTAGAAGGCTGTACAAGGCCGTTTGACATCGTATAGTTTACAATTTTATTCGATTTTTTATTTATATTTAAAGGGATTGACTTTTGTTTACTAGATATGACCTTGTTTGTGTTGTGTGAGCAACTTGGGGTAATTATGGCAAGTAAGGATGGCTGATTGTCCTTTTTCAAGATATTACCTTGTTTCGCTTCTAGGCTTTTTCTTTGATCTATATTGACTATAGCGGATAAAACAGATCCCCAATTGCAAGTACATGTTTAATTGTTTTAGGTATCATCAAACAAGACAATATTTCATTAGCGCGTCTCTCCGATTTAGTGATATTAACGTATCACGCAATGTCTTCATATATGTACGTGTACATACTTACTCCGAATTCTTTTGCTCGCGTGAGGTTCTTTACGAATCTCTATTTTTGGCGATGTCCTTGATTCACACTCTGTATCAGGAACTACACATGTTTTTGGGCGAAAGCTATTTCTGAGTTGCAAAAGTAAATTGTGAAGATTATCTACCCGTAGGCCGTAAACCTTTGATGAGGCGTCCAATGAAAGACTCGCGGTCTGAAAGTTAATCTCAGAGCCGTGATGACCTGGGATCAGATAGGAGCAAACATACGCAATTTAGCTAGTATCCTTCAAGAAAGGATTTATAGATGAAAGATTACCGATTGAAAAGTGGACTACTAACCGAGTGCGTGATCGTAATAAAAAAACAGTCGATCTAGTACGAGGCTAGTTAAAAATATTGCATCATTTATAATATTTTTACAACAATACTTTAGGTAAAACCTACGGAAGCATATAGTTGTCTAGACACGAAAGTCAATTATCTACGAGTTACATCATAATAGTTAGACGTTAGAAAGATTGAGAACAGTTTTTTTAATATTGTGTGACGTCTGTCATAACTAAATACTAATATATTTGGTTTGCTATAAAGCCTTGCCGTAGTCAAAACAAAGGAAAATGATTTCGAGAGTGGTTAAATTTTCAGGAAAAATCGTCAAATCACCATCTCACCTTGAGATACCTGAGTGAGGGTCTTTTCAATATCAATAAAGTCAAACGAGTTTTCCACAGTCACTTTTTTCTCCTGTACATAACGTACGACATCATACGGACTGCAAAACATTACGGTAATCGTTATTAGATCAACCCTGTAATGGACAGGCAAATTTGCGACAGATGTTTATACTGTGATCCTAGCAAAAGCCTATCTGCTAGGTCACCTTCGTTTGCTGATGGTAAACGAAAAAGTTGTTGGGAAATTGTTTTATTCAGACTACAACAATTTACGTTAAGGTTAGATTTTAAAGTAAATGTGCGCCATTTCGAAAGGAGATTTACATTTATAGAGTGAAGTAATTATGAAGCGAGTTGAGACGGAAAAAGACTCTTAACTTGGGGATCGAAGCCCACTAAGAGGTGAAAACAATATTAAGAATGAAGCTAAAATCGATTTTAGGAAGAACGCTGAAATTTATAAGGGCAAAACAGAAAAAATGAACGAGGCGACTATATGTATTACTTATTTTTTTATTACATTTTAAGGCGTTTACATTTTTTTATGAAGTTGATCGATTTGCGTTCGGTTTTTCTCTTAGTTAACTTCTAACTATCTCTGCTTCTTTCTCCAGGGAGTAACGCGGTGGAGTGACGCTGGCATGTTCTGAAAGAACATCTATTGCTAATCGACAATGGTAAACTTCCTAGTCAAGGGTAGCATTTGGCCAACGGTAACGAAGCAGTCGGGAAGGAACGAAGTAGACAAATATGACAATGGCCTTATGCATCGTCCCAATAGGCCCACTACACATGATGAATACAGCGGCAGAGAACACTGGTCTAATCAGTGGCTAACAAGCCAATGCAATTTGTGCTGTGTAACTTCATAGTATTAACATATAACACTCGTTGCGATCATTCGACAGTACCATGTCCTTATTGTGAAACAAACGCTGTTAGGGATTAATTGTCCTTCTTTTTATCAACAAGATCGCACCCTGTCAGGTCATAATATCCGAACACCTTGATATCCCGCCGTTGCTTGTTCCTCGCGTCCATTGGTTGTTTCAGTGTTTCCTGCGTGCTAATAAACTGACGTCGGACGTTTTTCTTACCACATCAACGATCATCTAGAAAAAAAATCAACCAATTCCGCTGTTAAAATACGTGCCCAAAATCACTAATCACTTCTTGCGTACATTTTTGCTTTATCATTTATTCAAAAGTATAATACAAGACAAGGAGGTAAGCAATTAAGGTCACTATTGAGTGCCTCTGTGAATTGATTTCCACCGCATCATCACACAAAACGACAAAGTAGGATTCGAAGCTGAGGTTAAAACTGGCTGTTTTTCTTATGAGGCGTCTTTTGTTTACGATTCATCTATTAAAAACATCCATCTTCAGTTTGTGATGGGTAATGTGCTCTCCCGTCACGATTACTAATTCTTATGAGACAAGAATTACCGTTGTAGGCCAAGCAAAAGCTAAGCAAGTTATTTATTGTCCAACTGCTAATCTAAATTGTATAAATCTGCCCAGCACATATATAGATTCTCAAGGGAGCACGGGGATTTTCGTATCGATCAAGACACATGGGTTTATTAACTCATCTTTTGCATCAATTCTTCACTGTAGTCATCCCCAATCCATTCACGAAGATTATACACAATTCATTTATGAAAACTATAAACAATTACAAACATCTAGAGAACAACCGCAATCCACGCTCTTTGATGGCTGGTGCTAAGAACTGCCACTTGCTGTCACATTATTAGCCGCTAGACTCAAATTTAATTTATAGCTTGTCGAAAAAGTATTGACCATTTTTTCAGCTGAGTGTTACATATCTTAGGTATATTTTTTTATTCATATAAATTATATGAATACCTTCATACATATAACGCACCTTGAAAATGCGTGCGTTTTTTTGCGAAATATTTTACAATTTTGGTAGTATACAGGCAGAACGGGTCTTAAGGCGGTTGTGCCGGAAACACCGATCATAAAAATGGTCATGTAGCTATCGACTAATTATGGAAAAAGTGCAAAAATAATTGAGTAGCCATGATATCGGCAAGCATTTAACCATCCGCCGCCAAGAGTTAAATGATCAAAGGAAAGCTGGCTACAGAAAAAGCTCGATCGTAAATCCACAGGGACGCAACGGAATCGAGGTATCTGTAAAGTCGGGTACTGAGAAGTGTGCAAATAAAAAAAAAAATAAAGATAAAAGCAATTTATTGCACAATTTATGCCGCTAAATAAATTAATGCTGTAAACTCGATAGAGCTGTAAAGGTCTTGTGCGTTAAGAGTTTCCGGCAAGACGACTGATTCAGTGATTCTACCAGAAGAGTGACAGAAGGAAAAAATTAAGTGAAGCTGGCAAACCGGAATATAGTGTCGTCTGTCAGATTCACACTATTACACTACAAATTCTTTAGCTATCCGGAAAAAATTGAGAAAGCTTGAATGAGAAATTTAACTTTTTTAATTTATTTTGGTCTCTGTAGAATTATTTTAATGGTGCTAATCTAGTTTCGTCATGAAAAGATTACTCATCAAAATTTTTCGCCCAGAAATCATTCTGCGGTGACGGGTTCAAAGTGTTGCTAGAGAAAATGGCAGAATGTCATCGACTAAAGTGGCCCATATTTCTAAATGTAAAAAAAAGTACTTGCTTTAACCGAAACATAAAACTCAAAAGAACAATTCATACACAACATTCACAAGAATAGCTCCTATAAAAAAGCCGAATTGTCTGTAGAGCTAGAGATAACGGTTACGATAAACTATAGGCCTGACACAATCTAATCCGATGCGCGCTATGTATATTCTCCAATAGATACACTCATAGCGGATAGGCCATGCCCTAGCTAGTCAGGCCATATTTATATTGTCTAATTTGTATTGGTTCAATACATCTAGTAGTACACGATAGTGCAAAAAGTAACGTAAATAATAAAATACAAAATTCGTGTGCTTTCGTTCTACTTGGTTTCCACAGCCAAATTCAAATTGTATCAATGGGATGTATATCGTTATAAAATAATGGCGGACAGTTAGCTATCATTAAAACAAAGAGTTGACAACGTACCTTTTACCATCGCGTAACATGTATAAAGATGTCCTCTTTGATTTTGATAGTCTTCTTTGAGTAACCAGTTCGAAATAGATGTGGAGGTAGGTGTTTATTTTCTATATATATATATATATATATATATATATATATATATATTCCAAGTATGCGTTTCATATCATGACGACAATGCGCTATTTGAGATGGTCAATTAACCTAGTTCACATTTCAAAGTTTACGTTTCAAAAATAGACGATGTATTAAATTAAATTGAAACCAATAAAAGATGGAAAATAAATACAGTGTGAATTCTGTAGAACATTTTTACCTATATAGTAATAAAAAAAAAGAGCTCAGCGGCTAATTTTGGCCCTTGCTGGCGTTATATCGAAAAACGTACGGCATCAGATTCGATCCGAAGCCTGACTTTTCACACGCGACACAAAGCCCCTGCCACGTTGCTCGTAGACATCGTTGATACAATAGATGTATTTCAATAGTCGAAACTTACTATGAGATTTGATAGTATTTTTGAGCGTTTCCCTTAGACGCTATCTACGTGTTCATAGCTCCTAGAAATATAACACTCTGTTATGTTCAACAGAATATCAAAAGACAACAGTCTTTTGATAATATTCTTTATATTAACCAGTTGAGGCGGCTAACGTGCTCGTGCATTCGTGTACGCGCAACGTATCAAAACGTCCCAAGTTTGATCCATCCAGGTATCGTCGATTTTGAACATTATCACTGATAGCCCATTATATAATCTATTTTCTGCCTTCGAAAACGCTACTACTTACTTAGCGTTGTTGAGATACGAGTTAGTTTTTCATTTTGAGCTTGTAGTTTCTGGGGGACGTCGCGTCAAATAAGCCTTGAAGTTACTGCAATAAAATATTTGAAAGAGAAATAAGATTCAAATATAGTACTTTAGGGAGATCATATGTATATATTTTAAGAAAAATCACTTTCTATGCATTTAGGACATATGTAGTAAAAGCCTTGCTTCTTATTAATGTTATCTGGTTGGGTAACTTGTATGAATTAAGGAAGTTGTATGCTTATGGCAGTATATTAGCATTTCAGCATGTTGTGTATGTGGGGGAGAATCTGGCAAGTACTTGTAAGCTGCTGGTGCTTGCTTTATAGACGTTTCCCGCGTCTTGAGCGGACTTATAACGAATCAAAGAGACACTCACGTTCTGATAGCCTCTGTAAACTGATCCAAACAACTTAGTATCTTATTATGTAAGTGCTAGATGTAGTTACCTTTTGTGTGGTAATTTAGAACCATAGAAGCCATATGGACTTGCTGCACCGCATGACTCACTACACAGCTAGTACGCCTTATGTCGTTTCACACGGATAGTTCCTGAACCGTGTCTTCATTGACGCCGCATCACCTGCTGGTGATGCTTATAGGCTTGTATGTTAGCTAAGAATCTCCAAGCCGTCAGCCATACTTTTGTATAGAAATACCTAACTCGCAAGCACAGATTAGTTGCTATGAGATCGCATAGAACCACATTTATCCTCAAGCTGTAGAAGCCAAATAAATATACTATTGATAACGTTTGTACGCCAGGGCAGACTCCAGTGTAGTAGATCTAGAAAAACACGTTCTGAATTTCGTTTTTCCAGAGTAAACTCATTTGACTAGCACAGAACGTTTGCTATCCTGACCGACCTTTTAGAATGTATTACTCAAAATTCCATTTTTAGATATACGTAACGGATGGCCGGCCTTACCAGAAGATCACCCGTCGTCCTGATATCGTCGTGGTCGAGCGCATCCCTGCAGTGGTATGTGCCATGATGCCAAATTATGACGAAGAGGCAGACAATTCCGTTGTATTTGTCAAGAAAAATAGGTCACGTCTTGTCGGGAAGCTTGAAGATATCGTGTAGTACGTGACCCCTCTTTCTCTTTTCCATTGTAGGAAAGTTGGATTAAATTTCCCTTTGGGTTCGAAGTCAACACCACTCCTGTGGCGGCAATAGCATCACGAACAACTACGATTACGCGCACTACATGTAGACGCCATAGCCGGCCTTCCGCTGCTGCTGTCCCTACGCCTAGAGCCAGCGGGCTCTGTAGCATAGGGAAAGCGTGCGCAAGGAACTGGATCTGGGATCCTGAAAGGAACCAAACCTTTGGCTAGTCATGGAAACAGCCGAGACGGCACTGGCGGCATCGAGTGGTGCACAACGATCCTATCTGACGCTACTTCGAATATGATCATGAAGAATTTGAAAGAGACAAGACAACAAAGTAGTTAAGAATACTCCAATCTGCCTCTCTGTGATTCAACAACACGTGAACCTTTTCCGTACTTGTTCTTGTTTTCGAGGGCCAAATAAAATAATAAACATATCATTACAGTGTTAAAGCGGCTTCCAGGAGTGAGGAAGAATTATTTTAATAGAGTTTCGCAGTTTCGTTTCGCTAAAGGGTGGCGCAATTTTTACCGGACCCTTTTCAAGGGTATATTACCTTCTAACGAGTGAAAAAATGGTCACACAGTAGCAATACGCTTGAAGCCCAAGTTTGCTGGGTATCTTCAGCGGGTTTTGCTCTAGCCATTGCAACTACATACAGTCCATCACCTATGGCAGACAGAATCGCACTAATCAAAACCTCGAAACCGCTATAAAGATCTAAAAAAGCGTAAAGAGCTAACCTTAACCATGGCTGCGCCTTGGAATTTATGCCCAACTTGGAAATATGCACACATAGGTAAACGCATTCTATGCTCCAACTAACGGCTGAATGTAGATATGTTATTTTTTTAATAACTTGAAAAATTTCTCGAAAAAAAGGAAAGTGGAATCATACGCTACGCGTGATTTCTCCTAACACGATGTTGAGTGACACGTATTTAGATGCGAACGAAATTCGCCGATAATTCATTCGATACTAACAGGATTTTCGAATCAATTCCCTCTGTTTTAAACATTTCTATTGGTTTTAACAGCTTTTGACAAGAATTATTGCGTTTGGACGATTTTAAGCTAAGTTTCATCAGCCATGTAACGATTGGCAAACTTGTTAGTTACAAATCAGTGATTTATGCAAGCGGAATGCTAACAAATAAACAATCATCTAAGAACTGTTACATTTCTCCCGCCCAGTGGGTCACAGTCACATTGTCAGATTTAGATGTAATACGGCAATAGTAACGGGAGCTGTGGCACAATGAACAATTTATCATTGTTAGAGTTGGATTATACCGCATCAGAGCAACGCCCCGCTAAAAACAGCTTGGAGGACAATGGGATTCGTGGTAATTGCAATGGCCTACAGATAGTTAATGAATGCTATTGTTCAGCAATTTCTTGCGTGTGTTAACTTGCGTTGGGTAAGTTAGTAAGCATAAAAGGGAGACGAAGCCTGAATGTGAGTAACGATCTATTATGTTTGACATCACACGCTATTGAACGCGTTCGCTAGAGAGGTTGGGCACAGTCTTATCGCTGCGTAATCTCCAAATGCGAATACAACTCAAAAACAACAGCTTTGAGATTTAATATAAAGATCAACATTATACTCGTTTTCGAAGTTTAGAATTATGTAGCTACGTCGAACTAATAACGAATGAGCACAGTTTACAAAACGCAACGGTATTTTCCGTACTCTACGTGTTTTTTGCCACATAGAGTAAGGGCTTTTTGCCCATACTAGAAATTAATAATTTGTCGTCACAGTCCCGATTTTTACAGGTGAAAACTGTGTTTATACGTATATGTGTCCATTTAAAAAAACCGCGTCTTTTTCACGTTTCCTAAACGTAACATACGGCTATCAGGAGCTTTGTTATATTGTTACGAGGGTACTTAATTATAGCCTGATTTCATACCCCTTAGTCTACCCCTCGAAGAGTGTTCACAGCTCCCTGGGACTATATACACTCCGCGTTCTACGGTTCCGTCCATTTTATTCTTTTAGGAAGGACATTCGACAACCTTGGACAGTTGTCCGGATCTAACTTTTCTGTTCGCTGTAACCCCGTTTTTCTTCCGTCCACGGTGTCATAAAGCCACGTACAGTCGCTCGCCGACATAAAAACTGCAATACAAAACACCCATACTGTAGTGGCGATGGCAGTTGGGAGGGTGACGGGCGGGAGCAAGACGCCTGCTTACAGGACACAGCGAATGGGTCTCGACAGACCTAGGTTTCTTCTTCTTCTTCTAGTGCCTATAACGGTTGATCAGACCACGATAGCCAGAACACGTGATCGAACTGCTACATTAGTTCTTAGGCTTCAGTACGATGAACCGTAACATAAGTGCTGTAAATTGTAGTGATAAGCATGGTAACTGTTGAAACATATCCTTGACCAGCAAATTTACTATTTTCCTATTTTTGATGACGTGTTCAGCATGGTCTTCATACACGCTGCTGTTCTGTTATTACGAGCCGTACGCATGTCCAGCTATTGAACCATGTAACGTAGCGGCGTCTAAGCTGAAAGGATAAATGCGGAAGCCACTTTTTAATTACCAAACTTCTCCACTGGCTTCGGTGGCGCTCATGTTACTTAGTAACTTAGTCAATCTGATTTTTGACATTTTGACCTTTTTGGCCAGCTCCACATCACCGCTGCGCCAATTTATTATGAGAACGAAGGCATTGTTTACGGAATAATTGAGCAAAGAAGACTGTTTAATCGAGCAACTGCTCTGCGTGGTGTAAACACAAACTATTTTGCTATTGAGTATTTTTCTTAGCAAATACTGCTGCCGCTAATTACTTCTACATAAACGAATGGTGCCACCGAATCAGGTTCACCAATATATCTAGACCCGCTCAGAAAGCATTTCGAAGCTACTAGCAGTGCGTCTCGAGTCCGTATAGGGACGTAAATGGGACAAAATCTACAAGTGAAGTAAATGGATGGGTTGTTGGTTCCGTTCTTCTTTGAGCTATGCGTCACTGTTCTCAACAGTAACGTATTTCTTCTGATTATTATTATTATTACATTGCCACGGGACCACTGTCGGTGGGACGCAGATTTGTCAACAATTCTGTTAACGTACCGTGTACAAGAACAAGTAGTCGCGGCTCAAGCAAACGTATGGCCTGAAGTTCCCGGTGGAGGTGTAAGCCAGGATGATTGGATTCAACGGTTATTATTCACTAAATGGGGTTAGAAGATGAGCCTCACGTGTTACAGAAGTATCTAACCAACAGAGTGTTGGTTGCTCAGACCAGGGCGGACCATTCACCGAAACCAACTTGACAATACTTCTAAAGTTCTACTGGAATCTACCTTAATCGATTTCTCTAGAAAATACCTAATTTTACTAGACAGTAAAATGTAAAGATATTAGGTCTTTTACGTGTTCAAACCGTACAGTTATTACGAGTACTAATATAATCTATAATGTTTACTATATAGTAGGCATTTGCACCAAGTCCGTCCACTCGTGCCCATCTCTAACCATTATCATGCTTAGACATACCACTTCTGTGTTTCGGTGAAAACGAGCTACGCAGTTATCTATGTAACGTATATTTAACTCAAGTAGCCCGATTACGACGCACTGGTATAGCAAGAATAGCAAGATCGTACACCGTCGTACCCACCGATTCGAAGTCTGAGCAGCGTCTACAGCAGCTTTGCAAGTATTCTTAGTAAGGGCAATATTCCGCTTCAAGTAATGAAATTCAAACGGACATATGGTTCCCAATCCGCCTGTCCTGGGACTTCACACGCAGTCCTTGCTCGGGCAGCGCGACATATTTTCATTCAACGGATACATTACGCCCGCTAGCCCCTTTCCGTCCTGTCGCGATGCTTATACGCGGACCCTGGCCGATATCGCCTTCAACGTTTGTTCGCTGTTGAGGCCGCCCCTGTCCCTTTCCTTCTCGCTGGTTGCTTGCAGTCTTCGTTTTATTCTTTTCAATATTTGAATTTCTTGCCGCGATTCGGTGTCTACTTGACGCAATCGCCCATGTTTGTGCAAAGTATTCCATTGACGTCACCGGTGAGAAAGGCCCCGGTGGCGTTGAGTGGCCTGGCCTTTCTCCACAAAACAAGTGAGACTGTGAGAAAGACGGGAAAAGCGATAGGGATTCGATGGTCGCTACTTATGCTGATACGGTTTTTTGTTAACTTCTTGTCCGGCGGAAAAAAGGAAGCAACGAAAGGCAGCAGCAGCAGCACGGAATAAGACGAAACTAGATAGAACTCGTGCGAATGCTTGATCGTCCCTACAATTCCGGTAGACGATTATTGAAACGAAAAATCTCTAACTGTCACGTTAAGATCTTTCATATAGATATTTACTATATACTAGGAATGTCTTATATACTGCTGATCGTACCTTTATATATATATATATATATATATGTATTCATACGCTACATGCTTTCAAGTACCGTGTTCTCTGAGTCTAGAACCAGAAGGGACGCGAAGCGGTCATTTAGACAGTGTCGTTATTCAATCACTGGCGGATGAGCCCGATGTGTGAAAACTACAATAAGGTTACTTTCTAGGGTTCGACTGTGGAAGCGATGTTTCGAAATTTAATGAGATTACTGTTGAATTTCCTTCGCAGTGAAACTCTCAATTGTATAATTTTAACGAAAGTTCGGTGTCAATTTATCAAACAACGTACAAATA